TAGCGAGTGAGTAAAACCCACAATTTCTGTACTACTCTTCCATAAAGAGAACAGAAAAGTCAAGTGACCAATTGGCCAGAAATGTGTTAATATGAATGCGCCTCTCATTCCTTGTGTGGTAAATACAATTCATACATTTCAGGTACAGACCAAATCCATGTATATAGATGTAGTTATAAAATGAGAATTAAAGATGGTAATGCAAATTATATAATATTTGCCATTATTACCTATACTTAGTATTTACACTCACGGTTCTATGTGAAATTAGAACTGTTGCTGTGCTGAATTGTCACTAATAAATTATTTCCCCTTGAACACAGTTCTTAATTACGCACGCAAATAAAGTTAAAACAACAAAGACAAACAATAGCGTCTTGTTGACGTGAATCCTGATAAGAGACCCAATTCACAGTACTTGTTTTGTCTGAAGGCAGTACGCAAGCAATTCACCATGATCTTGTGAAAAATACAATTCTAATTTTGTTTCACTCCATCACATCCATTACTCTCATAGAAACATGGCAGGTAATGTGATACATAATACCGGTCCTAATCGTTCAAGAATTTGTATTTTATTCACAGTCTAAATTAAAACTATTTTTAAGAGTTTTATGAGATGAGTGGGGTGTGCGGTATGCATGAGAAAATTGAAAAATACAACATTTCAGTAAGTAAACTTCAAGAAAACAGACCATTTAGGGGACAGTATTGTCAAATCAGTGAAATCTAGAAGGGTGACAAGAAATACATACTGAATTTTAGTGCAGAAATCTCTCAGAAAGCAAAACCAAAGAAGGAAATGGGACGAATACATTAAGACCGATGTTATGAGGTTGTGAGGATGCGAGGTATGTGAAAATCGTGGAACTTTTGGTTCTGCTACCAGACATTACTTGGACAGATTTTCTTGCTTGTTCACTGTTCACAGGATGCATGCCAGAGCGGGACATCCTGTGGTACTTGGTATTCACAGGCTTCGCAGTTAATTATGTGTTCAGACTGAATGTCAATATTGGCATTGTATCTATGGTGAAGAGTCGGCCACCAAAACTGGACAATACATCTCATTCTAGTGTGTGCATCCGCTCGCTAACATCACAAAGTTCTTACAATAGTAGCACTAACATCACAACAACAGCACTGCACCTTTCTGATGAGGTAAGCTGCTAAGTAAATCATAAAAAAGTACAGTCACTACGCCTACTGTTTACATAGCATCAAAGTCCATGGTACTTATGAACTACTTTACTTGTTAAAATCCTTCATAAAATGCATGAACCAATTACTGTTTTTATTTATAACACATTATTATCATAACCATAATAATTATATACAAAATTAGTTAAAATCTGGGTTAATTTGACATTTTACAAAAATAGTGTAATTAATGCACATGAAGTAACTCAATTCAAAGTATAATAGATAATTATACAAAAGCAGCTTCACCACGAGTCAGCCATTGTTTCACGTGGTAACGTACAGACCTGTTTGAAGGTATTACTCTAATATTTGACTGGAGGAAAACCACCTAAAACCATGATAAGCGCAAAGTCTCCCAGCCAACCTATCAAATATGAAGCAGGAGTATTATTCAATTCAATTATTATCACTGCATGGTAACATTCATCATCGTAATGATGAGATCGTAAACATGTGTTTTTGCAGTTAAGATATGACTGGGATGAGAAGCAGCAAAGTTTAATTCTTGGCAGTTTCTTCTGGTTGTTCTGGGTTACCCAAGTACCTGGCGGAATGTTAGCACAGCGCTATGGCACAAAACTGGTATTTGGACTTGCAAATGGTGTCCCATGCTTGCTTTCTTTCCTCATTCCGCTATGTGCAAGACTGGATTATCGAGCTCTCGTTTTCATTAGAGCACTTCAAGGATTCATTGCTGTAAGTATGGTTCCTCAAAGAACCATTTTTTCCAGGATATTTCAGTACAGAAGAATAACACTTTACAGCCTCATGGCATCAATGTCTTATCCTACACCCTTAGAGTAAGTTAGTAATTTAATTAGTAGTGCAAGACAGCACAGCAAAATTACATATAATACGTAAGATTTGAGGTTTTCACAGCGGTGAGTATGAAGATTTCTGTCTTCTGGGTTGTTGCGCTGTGTAGTCTGGTCGATGTTTACCAACGTTTCAGAGGTCATACTGCCTCCATCATCAGGGCGATACCCAGAAGACAGAAATCTACATATAATACCTTTTCACATTTTAATTGACAATTTTTTTGGGTCTGTTCCAAGATTAAATGGAAAGGAAAAAGTGAGATTTCAGATTCTCACAGCAGCAAATATGAAGGTGGCTGTCTTCGAGGGTGTTGCACCACGTAGTCTTGTATAAACTTAACGGCATTTCAGAGGTGCTTAATACCTTCATCATCACTTTGATCGTCGAAGCAGTAAACATACTGAAACATCTGTCTGCTTCTACCAGACAGTTATATATAATCACAAGTTATCAGCCAAACAGCTCTGTCAATAAAGTGAATTAAAACAGCCAGTGTACATGTCATGCCATTTGAGAACAAAGTGTTGAGGAGAATATTTGGGCTTAACAAATACAAACGGAAAGAATTACTGTATATATCGAAGAGCTTCATATTACATATGTTTTGCCTAATGCCACTTGGTGATTTGATGAAGATGATATTGACATATAATGTAGCATGGAGAAATGAAGCATACAACATTTTAGTTCCAAAACCTTATTACAAGAGACCACCTGGAAGATATAGGGATATATGGGAAGGTAATGTTATCATAGATGTTAGAGAAATTGGTTGTGACAATGTGGAATGAATTCAAATGGCTAACTTCAGGGTCCAGCTTTTGTAAACATGGTGATAAACCTTCTCATTAAAGAAACTGCATCACGGAGATTGCAAGTGTGTATTACTGTAAATCATAAGTAATTATGACTTTATATATATAACACATATTAATAAAAGGAACGCCTGACAAATGGAAGTTGTTATCAATATAGGTGTGCTTTCTTACAGACCTGAAGTATAAAATAATATATATTAAATAAAATACAAGATTTTTTTATCATAGGGAACAACATGGCCTGCAATGCATCACTTGGCAGCAAACTGGATTCCACCAAATGAACGCAGTAAATTCGTCACAGCTTACATGGGTACGCTAAACAAAAACTAGATCTAAGGTATTTTTAACTGCTTTCCGTATTTTATAACACACTACAGATGTTATGGTATCATGTCTATCTGCGTCTGTGACTGAGTTGTTTCACGATTTTGCAATAGTCCTTCCAGATAAATGTTGGAACGGTACATTAAAATCCACAACATGTTCTATCCACATCCATCCCATTTCATCAATCAATCAACCTACCATAATACTACATAACACACGCATTTGAAAAAGTACCATTACATAATCTAAAATAATCAATCAATCTCATCACTTTCAGGTAGTTCTATAGGAGCTGCCATAACCTATCCCCTCTTTGGTCTTCTCATCAACTGGTTTGACTGGCCAGCAATTTACCATGTAACTGGCGTGGTTGGAATAATATGGTTCATCGCGTGGTGGCTTCTGGTATATGACAGCCCTGCGCATCATCCACGCATCTCTGAGAAGGAAAAGACTTATATCCTGAACAAACTAGGAAAGACTGTCACTGATGAGAAGACACGTGTAAGGACTCAATTTTTTTGTGCACCTTGCACCCATTGTAATTTTTAAGGAAAAGCGAAGTTTTCTGTGTACCTAGCCATCAATCACTGAAAACATGCAGAGGAAGGAGAGGTAAAGTTTCATCCATTCTTAACACTGGCAATAGATGAATGTGAGTGGTCAGCTTCAGGCTTCAGCTAACATTTTATTTGCAGCGAGAAAGTTGTGGGGACAGTGCCACAGCAGAAAAAACTTGTCCCTATTAGGAATCAAGCCCAGGATTTCAAATACACATCCAACTACTTTCCTGACTGAGCTATCTTGGCTCACCCCATAGAAAATAATTTCCCAATACCCTACTTTGATGGGTAAGGGTTCTTACCATTTGCAGAACCTTTGCGTGATGAGGTTTCCTCAGTTTACAATTCTGATAAACTTAATCAAATCTAATCCATAAGACATCAACTGATTCATCATTATCACTATTATCATCATGTAATTCCAAATTAATAGAAACTTTAACAGCATTCTGCAGTGATATTTTTTTAAAGCACCCCGGCAAATTGTGGAACAGCTGCCGTGAAGAGAGCTTACGTGTTATTAGTCGACAAACTCTGCAACCCAAGTCCCATTCGGTTTGACTCTTACTGCTGTATTCGAACTGCAAAATAACTTATTCACTCAGATGTGTTATATCCCGTGATGAAATTCAACATGCGAGATACACATTGGACAACATTGTATGTTACAACTCATAAATTTCTAAAAATATTCTTATATTGAATTTACAACTGATGGAAAAACTGGAGTCAGTAACCGAGCAGATATATATTTTCTGATGACATATTTTTGTCACTATAATGGGTAGTGATATTTCTCTTTTCAAGTTACCAACCCCTTGGAAAAAAATTTTACTATCGAGACCTGTGTGGATGAATATTCTGGCACAATGGGGAAACATCTGGGGATTGTTCACCCTGATGACCCAGGCCCCAACATACTTTAAACAAATTCATGGCTGGGACATCCGAATGGTGAGTAATATTATCCTGCCTGTTCGGCCTTCCGATGTGTCTTCTATGTTCAATAAAACGTTATATGCAACACACTTTTAAATTTAAATTTACAGGTACTTTCATTTGTTTATGTTTTTCAGACAGGTTTCCTCT